TATGGCTTGCTTGTTGTAGTTTATCTTCCGCTGCATATCAATTAGGTTATTTCTATTGTTTGTCTTCGAAACTTCCACGTTTTGAAGACTTTGATAAAAATCGCCTATTCACCCCCCCCCCTCTAGTCGATAACTAACACTTTCAATACCTGTCTGCTAATCCGGTATTTCATGTCCGAACGAAACACATCGAAGTGGACTATCATTTTATACGGGAACGGGTATCTCAGAAGCAACTACAGATCAAGTTCATCTCTTCCAAAGATCAACTTGCGAACATCTTCACCAAGCCGTTACCTCTACCACAGTTTGAGAATTGTCGGCGCAATCTTACCCTTCTAGATTCTTTGGGAAGTGGCTAAGATTGAGGGAGGGTGTTAGACTGTATAGCTTCTGTATATGTGTACGTATGATGTAACGTTGTACCCCTTCATTATATATATGTGATAGGCCACCCCTAGAGGGTTGAGCCAGTTCCCCCAAACCTATTGTCTTACACATCCATAGTTTTTTGGAAGGACTTGGGTATTGATTTTCTTGCACTGAGAAAACCATGACATATGGGTTATGCATTTTCCTCTACTACAAGTATGTGTTTCCAAGAGATGAAATGTCAATACTAATATATGTATGTATATAAACTCCTATATGAGAAACTACATAGAGTGTCTTAATGCATAAAGCATACTTCTCTTTAAAGCGTAGAACAAATGGGCTGTTGGGTGGCTAGCGAAGGTATTGTATCCACGGTTCATAAGGGGCCAAACTCTAGGCGTAACAAAGTAACGCGTCTAGAGGGCAACCAAGATCATGTGACATATATAGGCTCGGTTTTTCCCTCTTATTCTTACTTCTTTTTCACGACTGCTATATCGGTGTGTATAACTAAGCTTAAATCTTGGAGTGGTCTGGGGCCCTGGGCCTTACATTTCACCCACCCGCTCTGCCCCTGCTTGACGCCACGTGTGTCTCATTAAGATGGATTTATATCATTATTACAACACCAAAAAAATGATTATTGCCACAAAAATGACAGAATCGATGTGAGATGCGTCGAAAGGATCGTCGACATTGATCCCCGTGAGTTCGGTCTACGGTACCGCCAGTATACGTTGTACGAATGTGTGTGTGTGTGTGTGATGGTGTATGTCTACATTGTACTCGGTGTTTCTTGGGGAAAAAATATCTATATGCAAACTATTTTTTACATTATGTTTTCACTTATCATCTTGTGGTAAAAATATAGACATGGTTCTGTTTCCATCGATAGAGAGGGGGTTGACCCGCAACCCGGCAACCCACGCTGCGTCGAAGAGGCGAGGCGCTCCCGCACTGACACACTCCACGACCGACCTCACGCCTCCCTCGCTCGCTCGCTCGCTCTCGGGAATCGCGAACCACCACAACCACCACCACCCCAGCCGCCTCGCCGCGCCGCGCGCCATGGCCGGCGGCGACGCCAGGCCCCTCGCCGACGCCGCCTTCCTCCGCTTCCTGCTCCCGTCCCCCAAGCCCGAGCGCCCCGCTCCCGCCCGCCTCGCCCCGCCGCACTGCCTCGTCGCGCCCGCCCAGCCGGACCCGCCCCCCGGCGCCAGCCCCGACGAGCGCCTCTTCATCGTGCCCCCCACGCGCCCCGCCTGGCTCCCTCCGCAGCCGCAGCCGCCGCCCCCTTTCCCAGTCCCTCCGGCGCGGCGCGTCCACCCGGCCGCCGGCGCCGCGCGCAATGCGGGCCGCTTCGCCGCCGGCCGGGGCGGCCAGGCGAGGCGGAGGGTCGGGGATTTCGCCGGGACCAGGGGCCGCGCGGGCCCCGATAGGCGGAGGGCGGGCGGGGGCCTCCCCGTGAAGGCGAACGGGGGCGAGGACCGCGCCGGGGCCAGGCGGGCGGCGGCGGCGGCGGCGCGGAGAGAGAATAAGGTGTGGGTTGCCGTGGAGAGGAAGGGTGCGAATGGCGGAAGCGACTTGGACGACCAGGGGGGCGTGGGCGGAGGCTACGCAGGCGGAGACGAGGCTGGAGGCAGCATCGAAGGGGAAGAGCAGCTGGAACCGGACGACGGCGACGGCCGGCGTCTCGGGGAGGAATTGGAGGATTCTCTCCTCATCGCCGGTGATCAAGAGCGCCATGACAGTGACGGCGGCCAGCAGTCAAGCGAGGTGCGGAAACCCCCAAAAAAATCATCCTTCTCTTCAAATGCTCATGGAATTCGATTGCACACTGCCATCACATCTGATTTGCCCCCAAAATCAACTTTTTTAGCTCAACTGGTCACCTTTCTTCGCTCTGCAGAGCACCATGTCGCATTCGAACCAATCACGGCGCCTGCAGATCAGAACACACACAGGGTGGATGGAATGCCGCCATGACATCGGCACCTTCGCCTCCGGCCTGCTCTCCATCTACGAATCCCTCAAGCCATCAGAGGAGCACCTGTCCAAGCAGAGCCAGCTCATAGACTCCCTAACCAAGTCAGTGAGCAAAGAATGGCCCAACGCCCAGCTGCATCTCTACGGATCATGCGCCAATTCCTTCGGGACTTCCCACAGCGACGTCGACGTCTGCCTCGAAATCAAGATCGGCACGGGCAGCGAGGTGGAGCTCCTTCTGCGGCTCGCGGAGATCCTGCGCGGCGATAATTTCGACAGCGTGGAGGTAATCAAGCCTTCACTACATGGAGCTTCGTGTTCCTTTTAAAAAAAGCATGAGTTTTGTAATTTGTAAATTCTGTTGTAAAAATTCACTGTAAATTGAGGCTGTTGGTTTGATCTTTTATCATCCTTGCAGGCAATTACCAGTGCTAGGGTGCCCATTGTGAGGATGTTGGATGCAGGGAGTGGCTTCTCTTGTGACATTTGCATCAACAATCTCTTTGCTGTCGCCAACACGAAGCTTCTCAAGGATTATGCCCAGATAGATGGCAGATTGCTTCAGCTGGCCTCCATTGTCAAGCACTGGGCCAAACTGAGGGGTGTCAATGAGACATACCGCGGAACCCTCTCCAGCTATGCGTGAGTTGAACGATTATGATGGATTCATCTCAGATAATTATGTTTATATGAATTTTCTCAAAAGAATGGGGACTCACTTGCTTATGTAAAATTGCAGATATGTGCTTATGTGCATCAGTTTCTTACAGCTGAGAGAGCCCAAGATCCTTCCCTGTTTACAGGTATGTACCTTATGTTGCATCAACTTCTTCATAAATCATCTTATTTGTGTCAATGCAGAAACTACTGAAGTGCCGAGTGCACTCCGTAAAATTTATCAAATTTTATAAATCCACTTTTTCCCCTATTTATTTATTTTCCTTTTCAAATAATATTTTCTCTTTCTTTTATTTTATGGTAGAGTTATGTGCTCTAGTCATCATGGATTTGCTCCATTTGGCACTGTGCATGCATATGATATGGATGATTGTATTTGGATGGCTCATCACCATCATTCAGTTATGGTTTGTTGATTTTCTTTTCCTTTTTCTTTTCATTTGTTCTCCGATGTAGTAGGTTATTTTGCCATATATTTCATCATTTTTGGTTTGCTGTATTTATAGTTGCCAGGTAAGTCAGAAGGAACATCAAAGTTCTTGTCCATGTTTTCAGCTTCATTATATGCATCGGTTTGGCCCATCTCATCCTGATGCAACTAATGCTTCCGCATTTCCCCACATTTCCAGGCTATGGAGCCCACATATACCATGGTTGTTGATGACACTGAATGCGCTTATTTTGACGAAGTTCATCAGCTTCGTGATTTTGGGGCTGAAAACAAGGAGACCATCGCGGAGTTACTCTGGGCATTTTTCCACTACTGGGCATTCCAGCACGATTACAGGAAAGATGTCATCTCTATCCGTATGGGAAAGATAATCAGGTAGGTAATCAAGGACCAGCATTCTTCTTCCAAACCAAGAATTCAATATCGATTTAATTCATCTAGGTTATAAGAATTTTAAACATTTTTTCTCACCTGGTGTGATGACGCAACAACATGTAGCAAGAAGGAGAAGAACTGGATGACTCGCATCGGAAACGACCGCCATCTGATCTGCATCGAGGACCCTTTCGAGACCGGCCATGACCTAGGCCGTGTAGTCGACAGGCAGACAATCAGGATCATCAGGGAGGAGTTTGAGCGGGCCGCTGCCGTACTGCAGCATGACGATGACCCTTGCATGACCCTTTTTGAGCCCTACCATTATGAGAAATAAACAGCGAAAACACCTGAACATTCATCAAACATTTCTGCCAGGAAGGTGAAGGTACAGATGATGAACTGTTTGAACATTCTGGTAAACGGAATAAATGAATGAACTGGGTTGCATTAAAGAAAAGATGAAATTTGGGTCAGGTGCATTCACCTGCCAGAAGATGGGCCGTGATTCGTCGCAGAGAAAACTGATCTGGTAGGACTATGCTCTGCTGGAAGATGAGCTGTGCCAGCTGCAGGCTGCAATGAGTTCACTGTGACCACTACACTCTCATGTTCTGTGCTCTGGTCACCTGAAAAGAGCAATCTCAAACCTTCTTTATGGCATGCAACTGCATGGATTCACAGTAGGGAAACTTAATGATCCCACTTTCCAGGATATTTTCCAACATCCATATTCTTTCATGTTGTGTAACAAAAAAATTGGACATTTTCAACCATTTTATAATTCTTAAACCAACAAAAATTCTTTACATGCTTGCGTAACTGCACTTTTACAGTCACGGGTGTTGGACAATGCAACCTTTCTCTGCAGCGGTAAATTGTGAGATGAAGGCCCCTAGGACAAAAGGATACTGCAGGAGACTGAATTCTACCCTAGAGCCAAATGGACTTTCCTAGCCCTGAAGAAATCGAGCAGGTCTTGACTCGCAACATAAAAAATAAAAAATCGAGTACGTCTTGAACTTTGTTTCCAATATTATCATGTGCAGCTCCTGCTCTAATCATAGACACTGCTGAATGATGTTTACGGAATTGCAAAACATGCATGCCCTCTCTCAACCAGTGATACATCCTCTTATGTTGCCTTCACTTTGACTTGCTCAGGCTGGTTGAAATTTTCGTTATACAACATGCCCGTTGGAGAAACAAGCCGTTGTAAAGCGCTTCCAAACCGACTCTGTAATGGAAACATTGTTCAAAGAGACCAAATTAGGGCTATCGTAAGATGCTGCATTTCTAAATACAATGCATTTTGTAGAAATGAACATACCCACTGGAAGAAGACAAGTACCCACCAGCATAGTGTCAAGCTACTAAACTTGTCACGGACAAGCTTTAAAGACAACAAGAAAAGAGAAATCATCTTTATCAGAAGAGTATCCCATCACAAAAAATAACAGTAAATAACCGGAAAAAATGAACTATTCAAGACGGCATCTGATTTTTTGTTCTTTTACTTGCTGGGTAGTGATTTCACAGCTTTATCAACCAACAAAGTGTACAGAGGTAGATAGTTATCAGTACATAGCAAATTGTGGTCCTATTTTTTCATGGTTCAGACCTGATATTCAAAATATTCAGATCCTTTTTTCTTTCTCAAGTTGGCATATCCTTTATCAATGTTATCATTATTTAAATTAGCAAAATATAAACTGAAAGCCCAATGAGGTCTCACAGAAAAAAAGAAATAAGGAAACAGACATTACCAATAGAAGAAAGGTTCCAACGCAGAAGCATGCACCCATTGATTGACTCAAATACCTGAGATCCCTTCCAGCCTGAGGACAGAAAGAGAACCATCAGACATTTCATCAAATCCTCCAGCCAATGCTAGGTTTTCAGCCATTGAACTTATAAACTTAGCAGAATAGGCCCTTTATTCTGTTCTAATTGTCAATGTAGTATCATAGCAAGTCAAGATGGTTTACCGCATTAATTATCACACTGCTGATGGCCTATTGTCAGGTGGGTATGTTAGGATCAGCCAAATGAATTATACCAACTTACCAGTAATGCTCCTTCAAGGCTGTGTACTGAAGGTGTCACAAACAATGCAGTGAAATATGGAATCAGCACTTTGTGCATCTGTTAAAAATAGTGCAGTGGAATTATTAGTTTCTCACACAAAACTCTGGTAGTCATGGATTAATAGTAGCATTAAACTTTCTGCAGAGAAACCAAGTTAATTCTCCAAAGAGTACATCAAACAATTCCTAACAGACTGATATGATGGAGACAGCCTTTTAAAATCAAAATCAGGATTAGCAATAAATTAGTAAGCAGATTCGTATATGCCATGGACCAGAGTTAGATGGCCCTGGATCTGGGTGCAAGCATGCCATGATGGAAGCCATAGTGAAGGGGCGAGGAGGAAAATAGGACTAGATTGATATACTTTTATTGCTTCCTCAATCTATAAGAGGTCCAATGGGGATCCCTCGGACAGGAGCACTGAGTATTCAACAATGCACGAATTAAAAATGTCGATTCTAGAGATAGGATACTATATATGGCGAAGATAGCCTTTACAACAAGTTATAGACACTTGGAAACAACATGTACATAGACAACTGGCATACTGATTGTTTCTGAGGAGCAATCCGTATCTGAAGTACTTCCAGAACATGTAAAAATTAAAGCAGTACATCATACCTGTTGTACAACCATTTGATCATTGGTAAACAGCCTAGGAAAAAGCCACGGAACAATCGTTCCAGCTGTCCCCACAGTCAGTCCAGCTATAGCTCCAATAACTACGAGTGACTTGAGTAGCATCCTTGCCTAGATTAAAGGTACCTTCAGTATCATTCAGAGTAATGAACATAATATTCATACAGATTGATGTAGAAACAACTACGGTAAAATGCAGTCACTACTTAAGTCAATCAAAGCACCATCAGTGCAGCACATGTTGCTTCAAGTATGCATAGTGGTGCTGGGTCCACCAGCAGCTTTTGCTCTGTTACAGGGAAAAGAAGGCAGGTGTGTACCAATTAAACATATGAAACCTGTTACACAACATGCGCAGGTCAGAACTCAAATATTTGTGTCAACATTCTTACATTCAACAGTCAAGACGCCTCATGTCCTAAGAAATAATAATCTAGCAAAAATGTAACAGTATCAAACTTCTGATAGATTCTATCGAAATAAGATTATTAGAAATCTTAGATGAACTCCTTTTTTCATTTCTAGGCTTTCAAAATGTCTTGTCAATGGCATAAGTCTTAAGTCACATTCAGCTCTGTTTTGACCAGATGAGCCTCCCCCCTAATAAAATTGATAATTACTTGTTGGCTTATCTCGGCATTTTCATGCAAAATATTTTGAAGAAAACAGAAAAGGAAGCTCCTTGTGAAATTAATCTGCTGAACCGATGAAAAGACAGTCTGCATGTCAGTTGATAAATTTAACCAAACAAAAGAAAAGTGTGAAAAATACAAGTGTCCAAGCATACATGTTCATCAAACACAACTTTGCACAGATTCTTGGATATGTACTGATATTACTGCTAAAAGTACGGCAAAGTAAAATGGTATGATATTCACAGGAAAATGAGCACTGTTGATAGGTACCTTCATCAAATTGCGGTTAGCTCCGTATATCATCTCCGGCATAAACGACTGTGCAGTTTGTGACAGGGGCTCACCCCAAACAGTGCACATGCATAATATATTAACCATAACCTTCACAAGATAAAATAAACAATATATGTTGTCACGTTTTTATCGACATGTCTTCATAGGGAAGCATTCCATAAGCTAAAAAGTATGAACCTGATGGCCTGCAAGAGTTATTGCTCCCATAGAAGTCGCGGAGTATGTAAGCAATGCATAAAATGCTACCTGAAGAAGATTGAAACAATTAGTTACAGTAAAGTCAAGGAAAGGACACAGATCAGTACACCCCAAAAGAATGATACCTTGGATGTCATTGTCACAAAAACAGGAGCTGCGATTTCGAATATCTGCAGAAGCTCTCTTGTCGATGGGATTGTGAATGAGAATGCTCGAAAACCTCTACTGTTTAGATTTTGCATCATCATAAAAGCTGCAACAATCTGAGCATGTGTCAAAAGCTAGCTACTTATACAAAAACATGTGAGCAGAGAACTCAAACCTGCAAAGAAGTTTGCAGTGTGAGCAACATCACAAAAAGCTAGAGGTGGAGGCTATTTGTGTAGCGCAATTGCAAAACATGAAGAGTGGAGAAATGGATAACGAGATGCTGGGATTTCTGGAACATGAAATACAACTGACAACAGAGGTGCATGTGATTCCATCTGGACAGGGTGCAGTGTGCATCGATGAATAATATATTTGTACAAAATATGAGTTCACCAGGTATTGTTGCTTAAGTGAGGACGTGGAAACTTGATTTTCAGCAATGTGGAGACATGTTCAGGAGACTGGAAATATGTGTACCTGTGAAACCATAGTAGCCCAGGCGGCACCAGCAATTCCATAGCCACATACAGAGCAAAGAAATATATCGCCAACGGCATTTATAACACTAGCTGCTGCCAATGCCTTCAGAGGACCCCAAGAATCTTTCATGCCTAGACTGATTTACAGCAAAAGATGTAATATAATAAGAGAAGCATCCAATAAAATATACTGTAATATGGTTAATTGTTTACTGTTGCATGTACTATTGTACTCATGTAGGTATGTAATCCATACCCGTTTACTCACTGGCAATTATAATGATTGAACTAGCATATAGCAATTAATGGCAAAAACATACTTAGAAATATAATTGTTGAAGACATTTGAGGCTTAAAACAGATGTCTACTAACATTCCAAAGAAATATAATGCAGCGCCCCTAACAACATGAATTCAAATAAAGGCATTCAAACAAGTATATCCAATGCAATAAGGGAACAGGAATGTGCCCAGTTTGTACCTAGCACTTTGGGCAACTAAGCCAACGAGAACTGCAGGCCATGCAAAACCTCGAATCTGAAATTGAGTTTCTGTTATTTCACATGAAAAAGGGAAATTCAATTTCATATCCTATAATAGAAGGTACTTGAACAGCACTACAAGCATTCAAAATAAGATTCCGCAATAAGCCTTGAAGTCAGAACTACAAGATTGTCCAACCACTTAATAAGGCAAAGGACCTATGCAAGCTGTCCAACCACTTAATAATCAAATTAGTATAACAGAGACCAACTAGATAAATTCAAAAAATAGCTGTATCTATGAGATTATGGTGATTAGCAATTTCAGAGCTAACTGAGCACACCGCATGGGATTCACAATATAAAAGATGCACATTTTCACACCTCTAGTTACGTTTCGATGAGCATGATCGTTAGGTAACCTCCTTTCCTTTCTCATGTTTCATAGTTTCTTGCGCAGAGCTATTACATTGTATTTCAGATACAGCACGGTATTGAAGTATTCAGCCATATCCATTTATCTTATCAAATGTTTAACTGGATATACTCGAGTAGAGAAAGGGCAAAAGCATAAAGTGCCGGTTATACATCAGAGGAACATACTGCCCTTCGTCGGTCAATTGGAACTACTGAGAAATAGCCTACAAGGTGAAACTATTAAAACACAATTAACATATACAGACCTGTGCATATGTATTGGCAGCAGAAATAATTTCATGATTTTTGGATCCAGTGAAAGCTGAAAAGAAATTTAATAAATCACAAGTTAAGGTAAAGTTAAGTACCAAATACAAATTTTCAATAATGTAACCGATAGAACCACATCATGCATGTGAAACTCTAAACTGGTAGAACAAATACGGGAGCATCTTTTTCATAAATACGTGCCCTAATCAGGTAATGAAGTCAAAACAAGCCAAACAGTTGGGATAAAAGCATTACATGACCCCAATTTTAAACAGCACTTGCAAGCTTAATTGAGTCTAAGGTGAAGGCTAAAGTGACTTTTCAAGTGACATAGCAGGAAATTACAGAATCTAATGACAAAAGTAGTCCTCCAGCACTTCGTTAGAAAATACAAAATATCCAACACTTCAAATAAGATGATAGTTTCAAGCCCATTGAACATTTTGTTTCAAAGACTTACCAGTCAATACTTGGACCCCAAAAATCTTAGTGAACAAAAACATTCATATACCAAAAGTAAGAGCTAAAAATAGCAGCATAGACACTTGATGCTGTGCAAGTTCTTCATCCTGCATATAGTAGCTGTAACTGGATTAGATTACATATAGAGCAAGAAGGTGCATATAGGTGCCAAGTGGCTGCAACAACAAGACAAATATCTGAAGAAACTTCAATTTCTGATTATTTATAAATCATTAAATTGGCAAGTAAGTAATATCTTATATTTGAACGAAGTTCTTTTCATTTTGGGCAGCAAAGCAAATGTATAGTTCATGAAGAAAACACAAACATATATCGACCTACTACTGTGCCAAATTTGTTCTGTAGAGTTCGTACTTTGGAAAGAATTAGCCAGCTTACTTTTGTCTCAACAAAATATTAGCCAACAAGCAACGCAAGGCCATACTCTATAGCTAAGTTGATAACCCCTGTCTCCCACTATTACCGAAGCACTCATAGTACACATCCCCGCAACTTTGCAAGTTACTAATCTAGCACGAGCTGCACGCACCTTGTTAGCTAAGGAGGTGGCCACCATGTTGGAGGTTGCGACTGACAGGAACATGAATATGTAGCACAGATAGTCGCAGAACACGGTCCCAGGCCCTGAAACCAGAGTTGAAATAAGCATACATCATTACACTTAAACTGAGGCGCAGCATGATGAGCCAGCCAATACATCACGTTCATGCATTTACAAGTACGTAATACTCCCTCCGGTCCTTTTTACTCCACATATAACATTTGTGTGAAGTAAAACTTTGTAAAGTTTGACCATATTCATATAAAAAAATATCAACATCTACCATACTGAAGTTATACGTACTATAGGAAAACTAAATTCATGACGCATCTAATGATATTGATTTCGTACTGTGAATGCTGATATTTGTTTTCCTATAAAGTTGGTCAAACTTTATGAAGTTTGAATTCAGACAAATCTTATATGCGGAGTCAAAATGACATGACAGGACGGAGGCTAAGATGATGAGGAAACTGCACAAATCCTTCAATCTGAAGATGCTACGTACTCTATTTGTTAAGAGCATCATACATACTATCAATGAGCTGGCACCAGAAATGCGGCGTTCAGTCGATCGGTTTAGTCAGACGAAGTAGAATAATGGCGGCGTGTTTGCGCATTTAGGATTCTCACCCAACTAATGGCGCGGCGCGGGCAACATTACCAGAATAAACCGGAGAGAGTACAACACTCCAGCATATTAAGGTAGGTACGGGTACGGCGCGCTGCAAAACACACCTAGGGCTGCGAGCTGGAGGGAGGAGGTCTGGCCGATGACCATGGTGTCGATGAGGCTCATGAGCGGGCCGCAGATCCAGAGCCCGAGCGCGGGCCCCGCGAACACCACCACGTCCCGCACCTGTGCCCATATCCCCGCGCCCTCCGCCGCCATCGCGTCCACCGCCACCTCCCGCTCGCCCCCGTCGGCCGCGCCTGCCGCGGCGGCGCATCGGACGACGCGGACGGCCGCGCGCGGGGAGAGGCCGCGCCGGCGAGGGGCGAGGAGCCGGGCGGAGGGGAGCGGGGGCGCGGGCGGGAGCAGCCGCGCCCGCCGGAGGGACGCGGGCGCCGGGAGCGCGGCCGCGGCGGAGAGGAGGCGGAGGTGGGCGGACATGGCTGCCGATGATGCCGAGCTGCACTGCGCGCGCGGGCGGCGGAGTGGGGCGGGTAATAGTGTCTGTCTGCAGTGGGCGGATGGAGAGGGATCGTGTGGACTGGATCGCTACGCGGCCGACGAAGGCCGTTGCTGTACCTGTGCCTGTCACCGCTGCGCACCGTACGGCCCTGTTTGTCCGGGCTCCGTGAGCAGAGTCTGAAATCTAAAACAAGCAGCTATTTTCAATCAGTTTTGTCACTGAAGCTGAACCTGGATTCAAGCCATTTTGGGTGCATCGAAGCAAAATCCACAGGTGATTCAGGCCATTTTCAGGGCAATGAATCCAATCAAAGCTGAGACAAGCATGGTCTTATATCACCACACGAATCAGGTTTGCCACTCAAGCGAATCCGCAGGCGATTCGAATCCAATCAAAGGTGAAACAAACAGAGCCTACGTCTCGTACAAGTATAATACTCGAATATTCATTCCTACTACCGTACCATCTCTGTTTCTTTTTTATATATACTTCATTTTATCTCAAGACAATCTATGTAAAGTTTGATCAAACTTATATTACCCCCTTCGACCCATATTAACTAGATCGGGATCACGCCTTGGCGCAAGGGTGCCGGTCCCAACAATGTGGTCAAGCAAGTAATGATCAGTTAGAAGAAAGCATGGTTTATGTTAGTAGGAAGTGCGGCTTGCCACAGCCCTGCCGGGTGAATCATATCCAACCTGATAACAAAGCATATGATATGTAGCACAAAGCACCAAAAGTTTCAAGGTTTAGAACAACACCATAATAATAAGTTTGTTGGCAACCTGTTGAGAATTAATTGAAATATACAAGACACTTTGACACCGCCATTTACTTACAAAAGATAACAAATTTCACAAGTTCTTAAATATTTTGAATAACAAAAACAGAAGTTTTCAGAAAAGGATGGGCATAGAATCCCACACGACAATTGACAAAAACGAACTGATCCTTGGCATTGTCCAGCACAACGATCACGTCGCCGATCTGATCGTCATGCCATGGTGCATGAGGTTGCTGCCCATTCGCTCGTCGCCGCTCACATTGACAATGGCGTTTTGCCTGGTTCCTGGACGCTGAAGGGGGCGATAGCTACAACGCCATCGGGCTCTTTCCGTCCTTTTGCTGCTTAGTTCACAAGTTTGTCATCCTGCATCTATCAGTTCACACGGCAAAGAGAAATAGTAGAGGTTCAGAATTATTCTCGAACTAACTGGATGTGGCTAGTAGCTGAATTCTGGTTGAGGTATAAGATGTTGACTGAACCTGAGATATACAGTACCACTTTATTGGGATTCAGCATTTTAGACCTTGGCTTTGTCCCCGAGCTGCTCCTGCACAGCTATCTATCATGACACATGAGTACCCTTGGCCTCTCTCTCTACTTGCGGCGCTGCTCTAAGCCAAGAAATAATCGAACTTGGCAAGATACAAAACATGAAGAATACCTGTTGCATGATAAGGGAAGCTAATGATGCATGTGAGACTGCAGATTATCACACTCACCTACAATAATCAAATCCTTTGAAGCATCCAATTTCTGCATAGACCAAGAGGAAAATTGCCAAATTAGCTCACCCGCTCACCAAAAAGAAGATATAACATAATATCTTTGTTGCTGAAATTTCAAGCAAAACAAATAAAAGCTAAGGGAGGCTATTATCACTTGAACAGTTGACAACATTTATCATTATTATTTGAACAGGGCATATACCCTGCTCCAGTTTACTTAATTAAAACCGAAGCAATACAAGGCGACGTTAGACACCACATCTAGTAGCATTATATGGCTAATGATCATCTAACACAGAGTAGCAACTGGCAATAGAAACAGGAAACTCTTTGATGCTGAATGCCCCGGGAGCTTGTCTAAGCGGATTTCTGTAAATGTCTCGTTCAATTATAAGACCACCGTAAGTAGTGTGTAATTAGTTAATCAATATTTTAACTAAGTTACATACGCAAAAAAAATCCAAGTTACATAAACTTATTTTAACTTCACTGCAATAGATGTACATATTTGATTTCTGATGATTGGTGAACCTTGTTCAAAAAGGTAAAATTCATGCTTCTGTTTAACATTTTATCTAAAATTAGAAGATTCCACTTGATCCTCAAAGGTAACTCTGGGTAGAATAAATTGATTAGCTAACATTTCTAGTCATTCTAATGCGGAACTGGACAATGACAAAACCTTTGCGATAACATGTACTCCCTCTAGTATATATATATATATGGCCAAGTAAATATTTGGGGGTTTACTTTCACCACATGCTAGACCAATAGTATAATGTGTATGTTACAAGTAGTACACCATCAAATTTTGAATTTGAAATAAGTTTTCAATTGTATGATATACATCTCATAAATGGATGGAGGTAGTATGTTTATTGTCTGGTTACTCTTGCAGCATACATAGAAGCTTCCATGAATTTGCATTGACAACATTACAGTACAGAGATGAGAATGGTGTAGTTGTGCTTGCACTTTGGGTTAGACAGACATTATAGCATATCTTGGCGAAGCTTATTGACATATAGAACATAGTAGAAAGCAGTGGAAAAGAGCATAAGAGATTCCTTCAAAACATGGAGAGGCGGTCTGCCAAGATGCTCAACTGGAAGAAGTCAACGATTTATCAGTTAACCCAAATCTTTAATTGAAGACAACACCTATTACTGCACAACAGTTTCAGTTAACCCAAATCTTTAACCAAGTCTAGAATGTTAGAAAGCCTACTTTCAAGGAGTGGTATTATTTTCTGTTATAGTGCCAGATAATAAGGATGATGTGCTATTACTGGTAAAATTTGCACAATATGACGATGCATCATGTCAAATACTCCCTCCGTTCCTAAATATTTGTCTTTTTAGAGCTTTCAAATGGACTATCACATACGGACGTATATAGACATATTTTAGAGTGTAGAATCACTCATTTTGATCCGTATGTAGTCACTTGTTGAAATCTCTAGAAAGACAAATATTTAGGAACAGAGGGAGTATATCTTCTCTATCATGAGTTCATATTAGGTTATTTTCGAATTCTAATATGATAACACTGGTAACCTTTACTAATATTTATGAGAAAATGCAGCCATGAATTATGGTGCATACAACAATGTCAAGATGAGAAGAAAAAAAAAGAAAAAAGTCCATAGTTAATGGATTGGACAGCGGCCCTACCAGTTTATTAAGATAATGGCTGCAGCTTCTTGCCGCGCGATTGCCCGCCGAATGGCGGACCAGTAATGACTTTATACTAAGAAAGTATACACGATACACCCTCATCTGATTTAGCTTCAAAAATAAAACAACACCTATTTAAAGCAAACTTTCAT